AATGTAAATCAGTTTGAATGAGAAGAAGTTAAACTAAACTTAGATTTTGCTTGTGCATTAGTACTATGTAATTCTAACCCGTTCAAAAGCATTAACAAGGGAATTGCGTACCTGAAAATTAATGTCCTGCTTCATATGATAATCCCAGACTTTAATGACCTTCTCCCCTGCAGTCAGGAGGTACTGAATGTCTTCACTCACAGCTAAAGATGTGGAGACTGTCTTGTGTATATTACAAACCTATTGGAACAATAAAGTCCAATTACTACAAAGGAAAAAGAATACTTACCTGTAAAACTGGAGAGAATAAGCATGTCTACTATACTCATCTCAGAACCTGGTTTAGATAATAACTTGTAATAGTTCAACGAACAGTCTTTTCCGTCCCAGATTATTAATCTAGTATTAATATTCATATTGACCAAAGAGGATGATCTGTCTGAAGTAAATCAACTTGATAGAATCTATAATCAACAATTTGCACATATTTTGATCAAACAAATCAATTTCTAATTTTGCAAATTAAAACACAACATTTTAAATCAAAAAGTGAATCCAAACTGGCACACAAAGTGCATTTGCAACACCTCAACCTGAATGAAATCAGTTAACTGAAATCAGGAACTGAATCTAGAATACTCCAGTAGCTGAAGGGGAATTGTAAGCAAATCTTTAATAATTCTAAATATAGGAACGTGCTTTTCAAATACTTGGCCTGATCTTGGCCGTAAGTTAAGTTGCAGCATTTACTCTTGCAGCGTTACAAATGTAATTCGTGCAAGTACCAGCTAACTATGTTTTACTAAGAAACGCCCTCACCACCAGATATCTACCTCCCGAATTAATTTCCCTGTCTTTGCATTCAGCCACAGAATCTTATTAGAGGAGGTGGTCACAAGCAGCTGGTTAATTGCAGCAGACGAATAGCAGACTTTGAGAGCTGTGTCAAGGGTGGTTGTCTCCAGGTCCAGAATACTGACATCTATAAGCATTATCTGCAAGAGAAAGGCTATAGCTGAAAATAGACTCTTGCTGCTAATACAGATAAAGCTGTATTGTAGTTGTCACACCATGGGAATAAGTGCCATCCATAAATTACTTAATAAGCTACAGCACAGAACAGCACATCTTAAAGTGGAAAAATTTCAGGTTACTAATGAAAACTGAATCACGCACAAAGTTAACTATTTTTAATCACTGATTTTATCATGTTTCTTTTAATGCACAAAGCATATGACAGCAGAAGCTCTTTTCTCTTCTGTTGCATGATAGCCCTGTTATATTTATGGAATCAAAATTTAAACACACGTTAATAGTCTCTGCATACAGCATAAAGGCAAGATGTTAAACCGGTATGGCCTGAGTGATCATAATATAATGGAGGGTCAAGAATACAAAAAGCAGTCTGATGCATAAAAACACCCCTGTGCCCATTCAGAGGGAAAAAAATTCACAAGGGACAAACAGACACTAGACAAGCTAAAGGGGAGACAGGAGGGGAACACGCCAAGGATGCCTTACTCGGGGATGAGAGGGTCCTGTTACAATTGTGGAAAGGTACCATGACTGGTCCCAGAGGTTTGGAAGCAGGAATCGCACCTCTGATCTGAGGAAGCCACACCCAGCCCAAATATCCATGAGTCCTCAGGAAAGACCCAAGGGTTGACCTTGTATAAACTTGAGCAAAGCCAGACAAGTTTCAGATATTTGATTAATGTATGGATCCTCTCGGACAGTCATCCGTGTGATCTGGCCATATTGATTATAGTCACAGTGATCATACGGGAACAACCAAGACTGGGATAGTACTCAAACTTTTGGCAATTTGAGTAGGGCCCCTTAATATCCAAGGTAGGATAATATCAATGGAAGGCACACAAATCGGACAGGGAGTCCTTGGGGCAGCTTGGTTATGCAGCAAAAACAAACATTCTCACAGATTTATGTAATATGTACTGTGTTCATATATAGAGAATAGTCTTTCTTGTAGATTTGTGTAATATGCATTAGTGTGGCTTGGACATATATCTGTTTGTGCATCCCTGTTGGGTTAATAACTTGGAATTTCTTATGCAACACCATCACAAGGACAGGACTGGTTCAAGTAAAAGGACCACCTCCCCATGACAACTGGAACAGGTGTGGTCTTGTCTGCGCCACCAATATCTTGCAACAACACTGTGCAGGAAAATGTCTCATCTTTTCAATGCCTTGACACCTCACAAGCTGCATAATGTTACAAGTCTTATGGTTGTTTAAAATATCAAAATAAAGTAAATGCTTTCCCAACATATAAATAAAAATTTACAAGTTTTGCCAATCTTGAGCCAAAATAACAGCAGAAGCTAGCAATGTTGTAGACAAATTTACTGTCCATTTGGAATCGCAGCAAACAACCATTTAAAACACAACAGTTTGCGCCAAAGAAGACATCCATTTACAAAAGACTTAATGTGTTATGACTAGGATAAAATTGCTCTGACAAACAATGGCAGATTACCTCATCTAATGAGTGAGCATCCATCACAGTGACTATATATTCAGATGGGCCCACAAAAGCCAAGTAACGGCTGTCACTGCTCACTGTTAGTGCATCTGGACCATGATAACTGCCTCTTGCCACAACATTACCTGGAAGAACAGTGGACACAGAGTGACTAAATTGTTTCAGACAAAGATTGAAGCATCATTTGGCAAAGACAGCTTTCACTGTCAATGGAGGGGAATAAACCATCTCCCTTTCTCTCAGTCAATACATGAGAAGAATTTTCCTTTTAGCCTTTGGAAGCAAAGCATCATCTGAACAGAACACAATGAAAAATCTGGCAGGGAGTATTCAACTCCTGATTTTTCAGCAAATTAACCTATAATAGACAGAAAACATAGAACCTCCATTATGACATTTGATCTTACCATCCTATTTCCTCTATGCACTTCAAATTCAACAGCAAACCACAAGATATTAGAGCAGATGATGAAAAGCTTGGCCAAATAATAACTTTTAAAGGACACCTTAAGAGAAAGATAGAGAGGTGCAGACATTTAGGGAAGGAATTCCAGAGCTTAGAGACTTCGCTGCTATGAGTGCAGTAACTGGGGATGCACTAAGGAACTGGAGAAGCTTAGAGGATTTTAGAGCCGAAAAAGATGACAGAGCTAGGGAGGAGCAAGATTTACAGGGATTTGATAAGAAGGTTGAGAATTTTAAAATCACAAGAGTTGCTGGATTGAAAGCCAATGTAGTTCACTAAGCATTGGCATAAGAGTAGTTTTGGATCAGTTGAAGTTATGGAAGGTAAAAAATGCAATGACAGCCAGGATAACATTTGGAATAATCAAATCTAGAAGTAACAAAGAACCAAGGTTTCAGCAATACTTAAATGGAGACAGGCAATGTCATGGAGATAGAAATAGGCTGTCTTGATGATGAAGCAGATATGTGATTACAAGCTAATTTCAAATAGTATGCTATGGTTGCAAACACTTTGGCTTGGCAACAGAAAGAAACTGAGTTAGTGGCTAAGAAACTGAGTTTGTGGTGGAGCTAAATACATAAGTTTCAGTTTATCCAATACTCAAAGGAAATTTCTGCTCATCAAGGACTCGAGTCAGGCCAAGCACAAGCAGTTTGGTCAATCAGAAACAGTGGAAAAGTTGGCTGAGATGTTCATTAAGTAGAAACTGGGGTCAGAGCATAAACAGAACCTGACACACTATTTTAGGATGACACTACCAATGGACACCAGAGTTATGAAAAGGGAAGGGCTAAATGATAGTTCAGTGGGGGGGGTCTCCAGAGATAACAGTGCACCAAGCCAATAAAACGACAAATATCCACTTACCTATTCAACTTTGAAAATTCCTGGACACTCCAAAGTGATTGACAGCCAAAAAGTGCTTTTTAAGTGAGAGCACCATTGTAAAACAGCTAAGGCTTAGTATTTTGCCAGAAAGAATAGACTTGAAGCAAAATATCTAAATGGTGAGAGGAGAAGGATCTGGGTATCCTAGTGGATGAATTACAAAAGGTTAGTATGCACGGACAGCAAATAATTAGGGAAGTGAATACAATGTTAACATTTATCGCAAGAGGAACTGGATAGAAAGGAAGAAGATTATGCTTCAGTTTTAAAGGGTGCTAGTGAAACCGCATCTGGATTAATGTGCATACCACTGGTCATCTGATTTAAGGAAAAATATAAATGCATTGGAAGCACTTCAGAGGGGTTTACCAGACTAATGCTTGCAAAGAGTTAACGTCTTATGAGGAAAGGTTTGACAGGTTAGGCACATATCCACTGGAGTTTAGAAAAGCAAGAAGTGATTTGATAGAAACATGTAAGATCTTGAGGGGTATTGACAGTGTAAATGTGGGAAGGATGTTTTCTCTTACAGGAGTATCAAAGACTAGGGGTCTCTCTTTAAAAATCAGGGGTCAAGCATTTAAAACAGATGATGCAAAACTTTTCTCACACTGGAAGACGATGACGACGACTGGAGCAGGAACAGCGATTCAACCCTTCAAGCCTGCTCTGTCATTCATTATGGTCATGGCTGATCATCAAGCTTAATACGCTAATCCTGCTCTCTCCTCATGTCCCTTGATGCCTTAGTCACAAGAGCAACATCTACCTTCTCCTTGAAAACACAATGTTTTGGTCTGAACCAGTTTCTGTGGTAGTGAATTCCACAAACTCACCACAGTGGGTTTACCCATTATCCTTAAACTGACCCTTTGCTCCAGACTCAACACCATCAAGAACATCCTTTCTGCATCTAACCTGTCTAGTCCTGTTAGAATTCAATAGACTCCAAGGAGATTCCTCCTCATTCTTTTAACTTCCAGTGAATACAAGCCTGACCAATTCAATCCTTTCTCATACATCAGTCCTGCCATCCTAGGAATCAATTTGGAAAACTTTCGCTGTACTCCCTCTACTTCAAGAACAAGACAAGGAGACCAAAACTGCAGACAATATTCCAGGTGCGGCCCCATCAAGGCCCTGTGTAACTGCAGCAAGACATCCTTGTTCCTGTACTCAAATCCTCTCACTATGAAGGCCAATCACAGTCTGCCTTCTTTATTGCCTGCTGCACCTGCACGCTTACTTTTAGTGATTGGTGCATGATGATACCCAGGTCTCATTGAAAGTTCCCCTCTCCCAATTTAGAGACGTTCAAATAATATTCTGCCTTCCTATTTTTCCTACCAAATTGGATAACCTCACATTTATCCACATTATTTGCATCTGCCATGCATGCTTACTCATTCAGCCTGTCCAAATTTCACTGCACCATCTCTGCATCTTCCTCACAACTTATCCTTCCACCTAGCTTTGTGTCATCTGTAAATTGAGGTGTTATGTTTAATTCCTTCATCTAAATCATTGACAATTTGTAGGAATCGTTAAATATTTTTAAGGCAGAGACAGATAGATTCTTGTTAATGAAGAGGACAAAAGGTCATCAGGGGTACACAGGAACATAGTCATGAGGTTACAAACAAATCAGCCATGATCTTATTGAATGGCAGGGCAGATGGGGGAAAAGTTGGTTTGGCGGGGGGGAAGAGCGGGGAGGAGGTGGTGAGTAAACCACTTATTCTTATTCCTAGTTCACATGTTCTTATTTTGCAATGCTTTTGGCCCAAAGTGCCAGAGGAAATCTGTTCCCTTGTTTAATTTGAGAATACAAACTTTGTTCCATTTTCACCCTGTTAATTCCGGCTCTAAATCATGCTTCAGTAAACTAAAAATATCATGTATATAATCACTGACTGCAGTCACGGGACAGCAGCCATTTTGGCCTCTGTTAACACAGCACTTGGCTACTTGCACTAAACAATCCTTTCATAGAATTCCTTCAAAACTGTTTACCTCCTTACAAGCATTCCACACTAAGTACCAGTTAACCCTGCAATTAAGGCAATGGCCATTGGAATGTGCTGTAATTGGCTGAGTGATTATCAGCTGGATTTAACTCTGTATCTTACCCAAGATCCTGATAACATGGTGACCCTCTTCAGTTGCATTGTACAGGGCCAACGAACCCAAAGACCCAGCACTGTACATATACTCTCCATTGGGGGAAAACACAAGTCCAATCACTTTTCCTCTGTGCTGCCTGGAGACCACACATGAAATATTAGCAAAACCAGGGACAGAAACCTCATTCATCCTCTCCACAGCAAAGCATGCCTTGGAAAGCTTGGACAAAATAAACTTGAAAATAAAAACATGTTCTTAATCAAAAATGAATTGCTATAGAGTTGAGCACTCACCGTTGCTCAGCCAGAAGACTTGAATTCCCCACATTAAAAATTCGCACTACTCCACTGCTAAATCCACAAGCAAAAATTTGCTGTGTAGGGTGAAATGTCACAGCACACGGTGTCTCTTCAGCACTCACAAAGTCGTACAACTATTGTTCAGGAAAGCAATCAGTTACACATGGCAACTGCATTAATATGATCAGTAAGTCAACATATTTCTTTAAGTTTAAATAAATCATCTCATTCTTATTCCAATGTGAAGATGCACAGCAAGACAATATCACTTACAATAACACAATTCTTTCATTGGAAAAGTTTGAGAATCAAGTTTCCCATTTGGAGTGGGAGAAAGTGAGAGCACGAAACAGAGAAAATGGGGTTATAGAAAACGTTTTTGCTATTCTGGATGAAAGAGAAACGTACCTAAAGAGAACTAACCACAGGGCATTGTACAACTGCAATCATATTATTTCTCTAATGAGGTAACTATGAAAGGGAATCTTAAGCAAAATTTAGGCTTAGGTTTGTTTTATGTTTCGTTATATCCAAAGTTATGAGTAAAAATAACTTCTCTAGAAACAGTTGACATTTTTCCCAAGGGAACTCTCCAAGTACACACAGAATACATCAAGTATCTACCTCTAAAGATAAAAATCCTCACTGCCCAATCTGAACATACATACCTGTTGCATAGAGTCTAGGTCCCACACACGGATGGTGCAGTCTTCAGACACAGTAACAAGATGCCTCCTTATCCCATCCACTGAGAAAGCCAGAATTTTGTTTGTATGTGACCTCATTAATGTGGTATAACCTCTGCTGGGTATATCCAGGTATCCTAGGTTACCTGCAGTGGTTGCTGCAAGCACTTTCAGTCCATTAGGGTCAATACTTACAAAGCTAACACCACCTTCGTGTTCTGTAAATAGATGTAGAGATTAAGCAATTCTGTACGATCAGCCATTAAATTTACGCCATATTGAAATTTTAAAACTTACTTTGTGAAACATACATGTTTAAAACATGTTTTAAGCAAGGGTTAAAAGACATTTTACCAATGTCAAGGGCAAAAGATATCATAAACCAATTTTCACATCTGCTTCCTTTTCAGTCAGATTGGTGTCTGACATGAACAAAAGCATTGCCAGGTTACTGAAAAAAAAACGCCTCCAGTACAGTGCATTAAGGAAACCCAAAATCTACTGCCATGAGTAAGTACAAATTGTTTCTCAAGTAAAGAGAACTGTATTGCAGGATGGCAGACTCAAGGTTTAGAGATCTCCAAATGTGTACAGGGGTCTTACCAAGCTTAGCCAGCCAGTTTACTGGTTGAAAGCACTGGATTAACCACTCATTGCCCATCTGGAAACAAACTATTATGTTAGAACACTGCGTTATGCCTCACTGGGGTAGCACATTGTAAATCAAGTCCCAATATTCCTAGAATTATCACAAAAGTTGAAGATTTTACAAAATGCATAATATTTTAGACCGAGGTTGACAGAAAGCACAGACCAGGTTTCTGTACTTAACAAGAATTGTCATTTATTACAAATAAATAGATTCTATCTATAGATAATTATAAACTGTCAGCGTATAATTATACTGGTTAAAACTATTAACTTACCAACTCCCCCTTTACGTACACATATAGACAGATATTGAAATTATGGGTGCTATGGATGGAAGAAATAACTGGAAAGGTAGTTCAGTGGTCTCTGTCTACAGCTGAGATGATCTTTTTGCTGATCAGGACACGACTTCTCAATCTTCCTTCACCAGGTACTTTGACAAATCAATGTGCATTTATGATAACTTATAGTGAACTACAACAGCAATCTACTAGGGATTGATGTCAAGTAAGGAAGGGCAGTTGTCCAGTAAGTTACCTGCTTCCAGAAAGACCGTGGAGAAATCCAAGGGCCAAAGTCGCAAGTAACCATCGTCAGATCCTGTGGCGCAGAATGCAGCGGAAACACTGATACTATTGATGGCAATACCAGCACCTGGAATTTAAAAAGATTATTTAGCATACTAATCCTATTAGTCTGAACGATTATCACATAAACATATAACTTCCAATCTACAGACATTCTTAAAATGTACATATGCTTTCTCCTGACTTCACTCGAACCAATCAAGCTAGTGTCTGAATGTTGTTTGAATGCATAGTTAGGCAACAAAGGAAGAACATGCCATAAGTTTGATAGTTTTCTTTGTGTAATTTGAAAGCTCACTCCATCAGGCCATAATGGGGAAAGAAAGGCGTCTGGACAATGTGGACCACCAACTATGTATAGAATGGAATACCATAAACAATCAATCAATCACAGCCAAAAGAAGAATTCATAAATTAATATGCAGTCCAACTGAAATATTTCTGAAAGGTAGATTGTTATTACAATGGACAACAGTTGCAGAACAGATCTTAGACAAATTGAAAACTCGTTATATTTTATATTTTGACATGTAACCTGTGATAAATATTTCCATTCCATTTTTCAGACTATCAGATTCTAAAGTCTGATATTTTATTTTCAATTAGACTTCACATCGGAGATAAATGAATAATTATCTTGTATACATTAATGCAACAATGTCTCATTCCATTTATTTCAAAGCTGCAAAGCACCACCTGCTGGATTTCAAGATACACTGTAATAATTAAACCTATTTCCAATTATGCCTAGGCTGAAAACACTCAAAAATAAGCACAAATGAAGGATACCATTGAGCCTATGAGATTCATATTATGATACAAATCTGTGACTAGCCCCAAAACAATCTAAATGCATTGTTAGCTATTCCAAAGATTTTGTATCCACAGCCCTATCCAGTACCGAGCAGTGTGTGCAGGGCTTCCTGAAATCAACCTTTTCCCAGGGCAGAGGGGAAAGTGCATTGCACTAAGTTTCTCAGTGGCATTACTTGTAGAAATGACAGCTTGTGTATGCATGTCAGAAGCCTACCTGACCTATTTATTCCTACATTGCCCTTTCCCACATAAAGAAGTATTTTTAAATGATGCTTCAGATTCACTACTTCTACCTTTGAGTTTTCTTCAATTTTACCTCCTTTTGAACTGCAAAACTTAAGTGTTTCTTAGCCCATTATAATTCAGTCCACCTAATAGTAGGACTCACTATCTCATCTCAGTTAGACTGGGGGAGAAATCAACCTCTCTCCTCTTACTCCATCATGACCCCTCAAAACACATTACAGCCCTTCAGGGAAAATAACTTTGTGTTATACATTGTGGAAGTGGCAAATAATTTCTGTGTTACATGTAGCCATGCTACCACAATGACCTATTTTTCTAATAATTTCAATGCAATAATTGAAATTTATTATGCAATGTGTCATTTAGTTTTACTCAACCCATGCAAGTTATTATGCTTGCACAGAAATGCAGTCTCTTACCTGAATTAAATGTCACTGTTTCTCGTTGGTGTGAATGCTTTTGTTGTGAGGGAAACAAGCGACGAGCATTCTTAATTACAACATTTTTATAATCAATTTCAATGATGTGCCCACTTTTGCTGCATGCAAAGCTGCAATTGAGCAAAATAATATAAATAAATGCACAGTTTATATTCAGATTGTCAATATTGATGACATTTCTTGTGTCCAAACTTGATTAACGGCGAAAGGTTAAGGGCAGGGACAGGATCAGAGATTGTGAAGTACATCTTCATAAGTCACAAGTGTCGGTCTTGATTCAAGAATATGAATCCTATTAAATCACTTGCAGCCCTCAGGTTCATACTTTTGAAAAAATAAATTGTTTCTATTACTACTTTATTCCTTTAGTTCCCTTTCCATGAAAAATTACAATTATTCCACAATCCAATGATGGGCCCAGGCTTACCTTGTAGCTGAATCAGGAGAACAGGAAACTCTTGTATCAAAACTGGTTTGCATTGAATTAGCTAATTTACACTAGTGTATGGTCCCTCAGTTGATAAGAAAACTGCCCAGGCTTCAGAAGATAATGTTTCACGTTGCTGCCATCACCACCAAAAATACTCCAAACTGTGGATAAACAAATTATGTATGGAGGCAAAATTCTGTTAGGGTGGATTTCAACCTTCATCTCCTGGTTGGCAAGATCAGATACCTGTACCCAATTTATTTGGAAATTAAGGGACTAAAGATTAAAAGAGGTTTTAAGAAAGGGAGGTGTATGGATCCAGCACAATCCCAAAGATGACAAATATCAAACCCTTACTCCTGCACAAAAACTTCAATCTACCCTGGTTACGGGGGAAAATTTAAAAATCTTATTTTCATTTCCTAATTACTGTGATCTTCAGAATGTAGCCAGCCTTATAGTTATAGTTTCTATCCTTATCCCCTCTAAGTTATTCAGTTCAACCATGTCATCTCCTGACACAATCATCTGAATTTTTTTTTGGCCTGAACACTGAATTTGTCAAATAAGAAAATAGTTTGAAATACTGATCTTTTGGAGTGAACATTAAGGCCAATAAAAATCTCAATGTGATACAGACAATTAACAAGAAAGACATTCCAAACTGCTTCTTGCTGCTTTTGATTGACAGCTAACAAAATGGATCGGGCATATTCAGTCCCAGTTAAATTAAGTGGGTTTTAAAACAAAGAATATAAAATATGGAACATACATTAACAGGTTTGATCAAATTAGATCAAATCACTATTTATATGACATGGATCTGGTCTTGAAAAACTTTTTTTTGGTTTTGTTTACTTTTGCCCTTACAGCATTCGGTCAGCAGGATCTTTGTCAGCCAGATGCCCCTCTTCAAAAGCAACATCTGTAAATTCCAAACAATGATATTCACCCAGGTTTACTGGGCAAGATCGCAGTGCTCCACTTCGAACTCGCCACAGGCGGATGTTATCTCTTCCACATGACACCATCCTGTTGGACAAACAATGAGCCCATCACTGTACAGTCACAGTGTCACAATGGTTGCATTTACGCTCGGAAAACAAGAATCTGAATGGAGTAGAAGAGTAAAGGGATCTAGGAATACAAGTGAACAAGTTAACAATAGCAAAGCAATAAAAATTGCTCTCAAAGAATTGAAACTTATTTCTGGGGGTACAAAATTCAAATTGAAAAATAGTGAAGCTACATTAAATTTGCATGAGCCTACCGAGACTGCAAAGTTTTTTTTTAAAGTACAAAGAAGATTTGCAAGGATGGTACTAGATTTGAAAGATTACAATTGTCAGGGTAGAAAATCAGATTAGGGCCTTTTCTTTAGAAAAAAAAAGACTTAGAGGTGAGCCAAAAGATCTTTAAAATTATAAATGGTTTACAGCATGGTAGTGGATTGAATGCTCCCACTTGCAACAGAATCAAAAATTATGGGCATAAATACAAGGGAGTTATTAATGAATCCAATAAGGGAATAAGGAAAATCTATTCTCAGTTGTTCGACTGTGGAACTGAATATTACAGGAAGTGGTTAAGATAAAAAGCTTTGATTCTTTCAAAAATAAACTGAGTACACTGCAGGAAGTAGAAAGATTGAGATGAGATGAAGAAGAATAAGATTTGTAGACATCAATTAGGCCAAATGTCTATGTGCTAGATCTTCCTTGCAAGTATTTCACCTAAGTTTATAATACCCTTTTGTATTCACCTGCAGTTTCAATGCAAATCGGAAAAAATAACTTATCAGTTACTATGGAAGAGCAAATTCTTACTTTACAGGTAATACATCATTTGAGAGAGAAAAGCCAATATAAAAATATTCAATGTCCCACCTGGTGTCATCAAAAACAGCTATTTTCATGACCTGAATGTCGACTTCAGTGTGAGCTTTTGCCAACACTACTACTTCGCCATCCCGACTGACTTTTGCTGTGTCCCAAACTACAACCATCTGCAGTGAAAGATTGTTTTCCTGTAACTTTAAAGACAACTTCAATTGCACATCCTTACTTTATTATCCTACATGAAAACTGACTACAATTGTCTACATTTGTAGACCTTTAATTCTACTCTTCCATTATATCATGGTTTCTTAGTGTCTCATCCAGTCACTTTGTACTGTGTTTCCCTGTCTCAGTGGTAGCTTCTAGTTGAAGACACCAGTCAATCTAATGCTGTAGATTTGAATATCATGCTGCCACCACTATTATATTTTGGATCCTTGTTAGACTCCATAGCCCAGATTATTTTTGACTCTCATATTTCAGATCTCTCTTGTAGATATGTCTGAATTTCCAAAAGCTTCGACCACCTATCCAAACCTTAAAAGTTAAAAAATGGTTCAATGAAATGCCTGAGAAGTGAACAGCAATTATAAAAAAAAGTATTTTCTATTTGGTGCGAAACTACCATGAATGCCTACGGGAAACTTCAATTCATCTTTGAAAATCGTTACATGAAGCTTCACAGTAGAGTTTGGAATGGAAGTTACAAAGAAGCAGTGGCAGAGTGGTAATGTTACTGAACTAGGAAGCTAGATGCTCAAATGTCACATTTTTTTCTGTAAATGTCTTTCTTATTCTTTCACAGGATGCTAGCATTGCACTTCTGTCAGTGCAGTAGGACTGTGGATTTCCAGGGCCTACATATCAACATCAGCAAAATTACTCAGAACTGTTGCAATGCAGAATGTAGCAGGACTTTGTCTTTCGGTATTTGCAGTTAATAACATAGTTAGATATCTAACTATGGTTAGATAATGATAACTTACATTAACCTCAATTTTCTGTCTGATCCTAGTCTTTGTTTGAAATTCATGAAGTTTTTTTCTCAACAAGCTTATAAACTACTACTCAAGAATAATACTTTACGTGTACTATAATTTACACTTCTAATGATCCTGTTTGATTCATTCTACTTAAACACTAAGCATCATAGAGAACATCAGACATAAAACAGAAAATACTGGAAATACCAAGCCTGCCAGCTGACATCTGTGGAGACAGAAACAGTTAGCTTTTCAGCTGGATGATCATTCATCAGAACTGACAAAATTTAGAGATGTTCACAGGTTTTAAGCAGGTAGAGAGGCAAGAAAAACGGTAGGTAGAATCAAAAGCCGGAGTGATTAGCTGACAAAAGAGATGACAGTAGAAAGTAAAAAAAAAAACGGGCTAGGTAAAGAACAAAAGGTGGCACTAGAGAAGATATAAATGAACAAAGAAAAACCATTACCAACCTTTGCTGTCCAAAAGAAATAGGGGTGGTGATTATGCTTTTAAACTGATTGAATCTAGAAGGTTGTAAACTGTGTAAATCAAAAGATGAGGCGCTGTTCCTTGAGCTTCATTGGAACTGTGCAGTAAGCTAAAACCAAAAGGGTCATAGTAGAAACGGGGTGGAGATTTAAATGACAGACTACTGGAAGTTTAGGATGATATTTGCAGACTGAATTGAAGCATTCCACAAAGCAATTAGTTCACCTGTGCTTGGTCTCTCCAAGGTAGAGGAGATTATATATACACTGAATTGCAAGTAGTTGTGATTACTGTTTCATCTGGAAGAAAATGTTCCCAGTTCACCTTTCAAACCTGAAACATGAATTATTCCTCTCCTCACAGATGTTCTCTAAATCAAAGTATTTCCAGCATTTTTTTGCTTTTATGTCAGACTTCAAGTTTATCGGCTAAGTATCTGAGAAAGGTTACTGGTCTTGTAAGGACAGAAGACTGGAGTATTAACCAAGTCATGAGTTAATAATTTTATTTGTCTGATTTAACATCAATTAGTTTCATCTAGAAGTAGCAGCAGTGAGTACCATCTGCAGGATACAATGCAGAAATACACCAAGGCTCCTTAGATAGCGCATTCCAAAACAGTGACCACCATTATCCAGAAGGCCAAGGGTAGCAGGTCCTGAAAGTCTGTTGCTAACAGCATTATTGGTGTAGCTACACCAAATGGACTGCAGCAGTTCAAGAGGGCAGCTCACCACCACACTCTCAGGGCAACTAGGGATGGGCAGCAAATGATGCCCACACCCCACAAATTAATAAAACAGAGTACTTACTGATTTACCACGACTGTCCTTTCCCACACCACAGAGAACTCTTCCACTGAATGAAAAACTGAAAGAAAATGAAAAACATTTTAAAAACTTTCTGTTATTTGGACAAATCTGAACTAGCCTGGGGTACTGGCTTGAATTGCATTAACAAATCAAGACTTATTGGGAACCACTACTTGAGCAATTCTCAGACCAAGTGAGCATTCTAACTATAAGCTCCCATGAGCAATTCAAATACATGAGTATAAATGGGGAGATGATGCCTTGTGGTATTATTGTTAAACTATTAACCCAGCGATCGGGATAATATTTAAAGGACCCTGATTCAAAATGTGGAATTTGAATTCAATCAAAATCTAGAATTAGGAGTCTACTGATGACCATGAAACCACTGTTAATTTTCAGAAAAACCCACCTGATTCACTCATGCCCTTTGTAAAGGAAATGGTTACCTTTACCTGGTCTGGACTCCAGACCCACAGGACAGTAGTTAACTCTTAACTGCCCTCTGGGCAATAAACGACCAGCTACACCAACATCCTGTGAATGAATTTTAAAAACTGCTACGAGAGACACCAAAGCCCTAACAGCTGTACCCTTTATTTTTGAAGGCATTTAATTGATTTAGTTTTGGAACACTATTAATGCTACAACTCTTAGAACACTACAAAAATTCGACAGAACCATTAGAACAGGTCTGAATGGCCTATGGAGCAGTATGTTCTACACAGAACATCAAGATACTGCAAGAAAGCTGATAAAGATCATATTTACAAGGAAATCAAACATCTGAATAAGAAGAGTATTAAATAGGGGAATAAGTTTTGAGTAGGTAACCTCATTTTGCAGTTGGCAGCAGCACATGTTTTTTTTAACAACAAATCATCACAAGTGCCAAAATTCCTATTATGTTATTAACAAGACAATTGAAGGTACTGTCGACTCTAACTTATTCCTCGTTTTATATGCAGTCAATTCAAAACTAATTCAAGGGAAACACAAATATTTTGTCAGAATACACCCAGCATAACATCATGAATGAAAATAATATAATGTAATGATTTCATGATTAAAAATAGATAGGAGGGATAGGTAAAAAATGTACAAATACTTTCCTTCATAAGATTTAGAATTGTGTCTTAATTCAGCATGTTAAGCATCACTTTACTAAATGTATTGGCTGTGATTGTTGAAACTGGAAATAAGCGAGCAAACTCAATAAATTTAGTACAAGAGATATTATTACAAGACATTTAAGCAGCACTTAAATTTAATACACAATATATTTGGATTTACTGACTACAAGCAATTCCAGAAGTAATTTAAGAATTATTTAATTTTTTGTTTCAATTCACTTACAACCAACAAAGGAAGGAGGGACACACATCTACAGCTCAGTCTTACCTAAGGGATAATACCGAATGTACATGGGTCTTGAACATTGCCAGGCAGTTCCCTTTGTTAAAGTTCCAAATTCTGACCAGACTCACATTCCCAGTCTGTGCTGATGCAAGAAGTGTTGAGGTGCCATTAAAAGACAAAGCAGAAACCTGATAGACAAAAGAGAAATGGAGGGTGTGGATTGGAAAGCTGTAATTTATTCTACATTGCACTTTGGTAGGGTTCCACAACATGTGCTGTAATTTAGTAGGACCTAATTCTATAGCCACAATGAAGCCATAAAAGGGAGTACCAGAGGGATAGGGACAGGATCAACTCGAAATCAAGTCCAGCTGCTTTCAAGAAACAGTCACTGATTGATCAAGAGTTGCAGAAGCTTGGCAGCATTTCCTTGGACAAAGAATAGATCTACATAATACACACCAAAATCTTTCTGAAAATAGAACTAGCGAGATTATAAAACAGCAAATCCATTGATCATACCTTATCTGTATGTCCAATGAAAAATCTCTGCTGCCCTGTATCTATTTCCATTACCACTACTATGGCATGACAGGGGTAAGCCACAGCTGATCCAGACTTATTCCATGCTGCCTAAAGTCAAAACAAACATCATGAAGCATATTTTACAGTTGCTATTAAAGGTTTAATCGTCACCTTTGTGTTACTTAGGTCTAGTTAGATAAAATACTTATTTTAAAACTTCCAAAAATTTGAAAATTAATCCTTCAATAAACCTTCAACAAAAATTTTTCATAAAAATGATTAATGAAATACAGATATACACCGTAATGTGTCATGAAGTTCAGAATCAAGGACATTAGTCAAGTCACAGTCAGAAAACAAGAGGCAAACCCAAGCTCTTCAAAGAACGTATAGCATACAAATAGGCTCTTTGGCCCACCATGCTTGTACCATAACATAATACCTTTCGAAATTACAATCCTTTTACCTCAAGGGAGTCCATATCCCTCTATTCCATATCTATTCATGTATCTGTCAAGATGCCTCTTAAATTGCTATTGTATTTGCTTCTACCATCTCCTCCGCTAGCGCATTCCAGGCACTTACTATTTTCTGTATTAAAAAAAAACTTGCCTCTCATATCACCTTTAAACTTTCCCACCCTTTTACCTTAAACCTATGCCCCCTCATAATTGATGTTTCTACCCCGAGGAAAAGACTTTGACTATCCATTTATCTATGCCTCTCAATTTTGTAAACCTCTATCAGATCGCCTCTCAACCTCCAATGATTAAATGAAAACAAACCAAATATATCCAATCTCTCCTCATAGCTAATATCTTCCAAATCAGGCATCATCCTGGTACCCTCTTGCACCCTCTCCAAAGCCTCCGCATAATTCCGGTAGTGCAGTGACCAGAACCGTACGCAATATTACAAATGCGACCTAACTAAAGTTCTATACAGCTGCAACCTGACTTGTTAATTTCTTACTCTACGCCCCAACTGATGAAGGCAAGGCATGCCATATGCCTTCTTGACCACCTTGTCCACTTGTGTTGCCACTTTCATGGAACTGAGCACTTGTACTCCTAGATCCCTCTGTATGTTAATGCTTCTAAGGGCTCTGTCATTTACTGTACACTTCCCTCCTGCATTAGACCTTACAAAGTGCATTACCTTACATTTGTCCAGTTTAAATTCCATCTGCCATTTCATATCTGTGTCCTTTTATATCCTCTGACAATCCTCCTCACTATCTGCAGTTCCCCCAATCTTTGCGCTGTCCACAAACTTACTAATCAGGCCATCTGTATTCTCCTCCAAATCATTTATGTATACTACAAACAGAGGTCCCAGCATGATTCCTGTGGAACACCACTGGTCACAGATCTCCAGTAAGAAAAGCACCCTTCCATCACTACTCTGTCTTCTATGACCAAATTCATTCTGTATCCATCTTACCAGCTCACTACAGATCCCCTGAGACTTCACCTTCTGTACCAGCATGGCATGAGAGGCCTTGACAGAGGGCCTTGTACAGAACATCCATCAGCCTGCCCTCATCAATCATCTTTGTCGCTTCCTCAGGAAACACAAACTCCCCCACATAAAAGCCAGCAATGTTGCCTTTCATGAATAAGTCCATATTTTGCCAAACGTAGATAAATCCTGCCTCTAAGAATCTTCTCCAATAATTTTACTACCACTGACACAAGGCTCACTGGCCTTTAGTTTCCCAGATTATCCCAGTTGCCCTTTTTAAACAAAGGAATAACATTGGCTATCCAGTCCTCTGGGACCTCGCCAGTGACTAAAGAGGATACAAAGATTTCATACAAGATCCCAGCAATTTCCTCCCTTGCCTCCCTCAGTATCCGGGGATAAATCCCATCAGGTCTACCTTAATGCTTTTCAAAACCAAAACCACCTCCTTTCTTATATCAGCATGCCCCACAATATAAAGATACCCTTCTCCAGACTCACCATCCACCATGTCCTTCTCCTTTGTGAATCCCAATGCAAAATATTCGTTAAGGACCTCCCCCACATCCTCTGGCTCCACGCATAAACTTCCTCCTTTGTCCTTGAGTGGAACTACCTTTTCCCTATCTACCCTCTTGCTCCCTATATGTCTAAAAAGTCCTGGGATTTCCTTAATCCTGTTTGCCAAGATCACTTCATGTCCCTTTCAGACGTCCTATATGCTTGTTTAAGTACTCTTCTGCTTTCTTTATATTCCTTAACGACTGTCTGTCTTCAGTTTCCCAAATCTTATGTTTGCTTCCTTTTCCTTTCTGACTAAGCTCACAATTTCTTGTCATCCAAGCTTCCAGAATCTTGCCATCCTTATCCTTCGCTTTCACAGGAACATCACAGGCTAATCAATTAGCCTTTAAAAGAGTACCACATGACAGATTTGGATTTACCCTCAACCACCCTCAATCTACGTCCACCAGTTCCTGGTTAATATTGTCGCAGTTACTCTTCCCATAATTTAGCACTTTCACTCCCGGATTACTCCTATCCTCATCTATAAGTTACTTAAAACTTACAGAATTATGGTCCCTGTTCCCAAAATCTCCCCCAATGCTTCCTCACAGGCCAGAAGCTGCAAGGTGTAATTTGTAGGAAGGCAAATGCAATGTAACTATTCATTTCAAGTGAGCTACAATACAAGAGCAGGTACGTACTGCTGAGGCTGTATAAGTCTCTGGTGAGACCACATTTGGAAGACTGCAAACAGTTTTGGGACCAGTATCCAAGGAAGGGTGTGCTGGCATTGGAGATGGTCCACAGCTGGTTTACAAGAATGATCCTGGGGATGAAGAGCTTGTCATGAGGTGCACTTGAGGACTCTGGGTCCGTACTCAGAGTTCTAAAGGACTAGAGAGGAATCTCATTAAAACTCAGAATACTGAGAGGTCTGGATAGAGTGGACATCAAGAAGATGTTTCCACTAGTAGGAGAGACTAGGACCTGACGGCAGAGCCCCAGAGTGAAGGGGCAACCCTTCAGAATTGAGACGAGGAGGAATTTCTTCAGCCAGATTCTAGTGAATCTATGGATCTCATTTTTGTGGAGGCCACGTCATTGAGCGTATTTAAAACAAAGATAGGTTTTTGATCAGTAAAAGGATCAAAGACTACGGGGAGAAAGCAGGAGAATGGGATTGAGAAACATATCAGCCACGACCAAATGGCAGAACTGACTCGATGGGCCATACGGCCTAATTTTGCTCCTATGTCTTACGGTCTTGTCTGTAACAAAAGGCAGCTAGCAGCTTCTCCAGATGATTTGCCTTTATTTAACACAGGTAAAAATGAGACCAAGGCAAAAGTAAAGACATGGAGAAGAAATGAAAAACCAAAAACCAAAACAAAAAGCTATTTCACAACACCGCATGACAGCTTTAGGTTTGAAACACACTTACACATTTCATAGTGCACCCTCCAAAGCCAATAATCCTCTTTAATTTCAGTATTGGGTCTGGCTGCAGCCCCTACAAAGAACAGTTGTAAAGAGAATGGATAAATTTACAATGAAGTTTAAACTTTAAAAAATGTGAAGTAACTTCCATCTCCTGAGTTGCCCAGAACAAATATAATTTGTAACAAACAATTCAAAGAAAAGCCACGTATCAATTACATAGGGATTCTATGGAAATTGTTCACAAAGGTAAAAAATATTGGATGTGAGAGATTCCAAACATAACTGGAATGGACATAACTCACAAAAAGGAAGAAGCTCAGAATCTAAAAGACATCCATGAATTGCGAGGCAAGGAAACAGTGGTGTATTTTTGGGGCACAGAGAACTACAACGTCTACTTTGTTGGCTAAAGAAAACGTTCAGGTCAAGTGACCTACCTTATGGTCTTTAAACTTCTGACAAATAAACCTGGTAGGTGTAGGAACCTTAGTGCATACAACCTGAAAAATAAAGGCATTATGACCTTTTACATTATGCAACACATAACTGGAAGTGAAGATCTTTTATTCTTAACAAGGAAGCATAGTCACGTTTTAACACAATATAGTGCTTTGGCGCACTAAATATTTAGAATATGAACAGTGAAGTGGAGCAAAAACACTGTGTGGGACAGAATAAAATTGACTCTCATTGGAACCTCTGAGGAGAATGACAATTTCATTCTAAGAAGTAGCAGCCCCCCGCATTTCAAAAGAAGAGAAACAATGTTATTTGCAGCAAATGCCTCTACAGCAGTAAACGATACTGCTTGCAAAATATACAGCATCTAGCATTTAAAAACTATCCATGACGCAGCAGCAGCTAAACTTCTAACCACAGCTAGAATGTTGTAGGACAGTGTTGGGCAGAATCTAAGGTCTTTCCATGGAAGGGAAGAAATTAAGGGAGTTAAGTAAAAGGGAAAACTCTCCTTCACAATTCCTTGCAACCAGCATCAAGAAGTATTACTGGCAAAGAAGGCACTGCCCTTTCTCTATTCCCCAATCCTAAGAAGATGGATAGCAAAGAATAATACATGTAATACTTGTGTTAGGTCTGTTTGGTTTGATGTGACAAAAAGTTTCCAAAGTTATGCTCTGGAATTAGAATTAGAATGCAAATTCAAGTTGCAAATTGCAACAGTAAGAACACAGTTTTATGGCTCACCTCCTCTGTATCACCGCTGCATTTTTCAACCGAAACCCTACCACTTTGACCCGCAAAGACATGAATTCCACCATCATCCACTGGAATTAATTTTGCACTTTCATCACTTATAGCTGTGGCTTCATCCCCACTTTCTCTGATCTCTTTGTCACAATGGGGTAATACAGTTGTATCCAAGTGTACTTTTGGAATGTTTGTAATGATCTGAGAGGATCGCCAACGTCTACAAGGAACCTGGAAGGGGAAGCAATTCTTGAAGCATACAGCAAGAAATTAAAAGGACATAATTATTTAGTTTTTGGAGTTTCTCAAAATTTAAGAAAATTATACGTTTTCTCTTTAGAATACAATTGAATTCAAACATTTGAAAATAGCATGTTCCCACAGAATTTGCAGTTTACCAAGGGTTAATGAACGTCCAGCATAGGTGATGAACTGAAACTACTTCTAACAACTAAAACTTAAAAAAAAATTACAAAAGGCTAGAATGAGGTTTCAGATAAAGAGTACTAAATTACAAGTAGAGCACACATAAACCAGGCTTGAACTAAATGCAATACAGAAAGTTAAGGGGATGATTTGATTAAGGTTTCTAAGATTTTATAAGGAATTAGCAGGGTAGCTCGAGAGCACCTTTCAATTTACTAGTGCAAGAGTCTAAGACTGGAGCATAATTTCAAAATCAGACATAGGTCTACAAAGATAGAAGACAGGAAATACATTTTCACACAAAAGGTGGAAAGCTCTCCCACAAAAAAAACAACATATTCTATCTTAAACATGAAATGTAAATCTGAGATGGATAGATTTTTGCTTTTCAATGTTGAGGGATATAGGAGCTAATGTGCGTGGATGAAGTTTGGAGAAAGATCAGACTTGAGGGATTGAATGACCTATTTTCGCTCATACATTTCTAAAACCTGCCATTAAGAGATTTTCCCAAGCACTACATACAATCAGTAAATGCTTGGAGATATTAATTTATTTTGTTTAAAGCATTCCAGCTAATATTTATGCAAATTCTTCTCTGTTCTGCATTACCATTGTCATTCCTTTCTTTAAACAAAATGCAACAAAATGCTGTATATGGATTTGTAATTAGCCTCAATTTGTTTTATTCGCGTGTACAATTTTCTAATGGGTACCTTATAACTGGAACAAGAAATCACACAGTGGGGCACACGTTGTGCTCTAAAGATGTGCAAAAATTGAAGACTTGCATTCTCAAGCAGGATACCAATGAAATTTCAAAACACCAACTACCCACATACACATGGTTCACTTTTATATTCAGATTATAAATTGAACCTGCCCTCAGTTTTTGGGAGGATTTTTGGAGACTTCAAAAGGTCAACATATATGCCAACACCTATACTATATGCAAATAGTCAATAGTAATTCTAAATCTTGTTTGGTAAATATTTATTTTCATGCCATTTAATTGAGTATTTCTAGTTGTATCAGAGATTTGCTGCTCAGCAGTAAATTCACCAATTTTGCATGCATGTGACACATCCATTTTTAGCAATTACCAAGTCATCACTTCATGAGAGAGATAGGCAGTACCAGAGATTGCTCAAATTTTTTTTTAAAAGTACACAGAGTCAGTATCCCTGTTCAGCTGGGTGTCAAGAGATATTGCAGCACTTCTTGAAGAACAGCAAGTTTCCTCAGCCCTAGTTAGCATTCATCCAATAACCATAAACAACCAAAAACAAATGCATTTCAATTATTGATAGATAAATTGGATATTAGGTGGTTGGCATGTTTGGCAGCAGCCGTTAGCAGCTGTGGCTTAGCAGCAGCACTGTGGTCGAATCATAAGGCTTTGGGTTCAAGTCTCATTCCAAAACTTGAGCGCTTCATTCTGCTGCTACCCCAGTAAACAGAGTGCTTTTGTTGTCAGGGATGACATCATTTGAGTAAAATGTCAAATTAATGTTCAGTTTGATCTTTGAGAAAGACATAAAAGATTGTATGGCACCTTTCAAAAACAAAGCTCCCCCCACGCCTCTCCCAGTTTGACTTGCAGATATTTCCCTCAATATCACTTATATCATCACAGATTGACCTTGCTCTGCCAACACTGCCTGTCACATGGCTCCACAGGCAACAATCACTTAATCTTAAAAGGTCGCCGAGTCGAATCCTGACATGTTGAAATGTATTGTTAATTGTGTTGTTTCTTTCGTACTTAAGAACAGAACCAATTAAAATCGGCAGGCATTCTGAGAAGAAAATAAAGCCCCCATAAATTTAAGTACTTAAACTTGGAGTAAGGAGAGTGCCAACTTTTCTCATGTACTCACGGTCTTTGGACTGGTAATTTGTTGGATGAGAGAAACTCTGTCTTGTACTGCCTTACTGACACTCACTGTGGGTGGATTTGCTCTAACCGGAGTGCAATGTGTTGGATGATCTAGATACGGCAAGATTAAAAAGAAAATATATTACTGTTACTTCAAAGTTGTAGCGAAGATCTGTAGCTCAGGTTGTGGGTGAGGTTGTTGACTTGCTCCCCGAGCTGGCTTGTCCTCGTTCAGACGTTTCGTCACCATGCTAGGTGACATCATCAGTGGAGCCTCCGATGAAGCGATGTTATTCTACTCTGCTTGGAATTTACACCGTTTGGTCCATTATGGTGAGTCGTGTCGTTTCCGGTTTTGATCTGTACGGGTTTGTACATGGGGTCCAATTCTATGTGCTTGTTGATTGCATTATGGGTGGAGAACCATGCTTCTAGGAATTCCTGTGCGTGTCTATGTTTGGCTTGGGCTACTATGGCCTTCATTGTCTGAGTGTACCGATATTAAGGAGAGTTTGTCGCGCCGTTTTGCTGCTAGTTGATGTTCATGTATTCTGATGGCTAGTTTCCCTCCTGTCTGTCCGATGTAATGTTTGTGGCAGTCGTTGCATGGTATTTTGTAAACCACGTTGGTTCTGCATGTTGTGGGAATGGGGTCTTTAATACTTGTAAGTGTTTGCCGTAGAGTGGCTGTGGGCTTGTGGGCCACCATGATTCCTAGTGGTCTTAGGAGTCTTGTGTTGACTCAGTTGAACTGGAACAAGATAACCATAGTAGCCCAAGCAAAACATAGACACGCACAGGAATTCCTAGAGGCATGGTTCTCCACCCATAATGCAATCAACAAACACATAGAATTGGACCCCATATACAAACCCATACAGATCAAAACCAGAAATGACACGACTCACCATAATGGACCAAACAGTATAAATTCCAAGCAGAGTAGAATAACATCGCTTCATTGGAGGCTCCACTGGTGATGTCACCTAGCATGGTGACGAAACGTCTGAACGAGAGCAAGCCAGCTTGGCGACCAAGTCAACAACCTCATTATTGTTACTTTTTGTGGAACAAATTATGAAATATTTTAGACTAGGCTGAAGACAGCAAAGGATTGGTCCTACGTGCAGAGTTGGATTGGTGTACAGAAGCGTACCTTTGAGACTGAGGAATCAGAGGCATCAGAATAAAGTGTTAAGTTTATTAATGCCTACAATTAAACTTAAACCAATTAAATTAAACTGAACTACAATAAACAATTAAAGAGTTACATTTCAAAAGCCCAATCACAGACAGCATTCATAAATCCTTGACAACCTCCTGCAGGATTTGGCCTTCATACCACCAAGGTGCACACATGTTGAGATGTCAATGAAGCATTTTTGAACTCACAATGAGAATGAAAAAAATACAAGTCGTCACATTATCGCCAGTGATCACTCTTTAATGAGTATGATTGCCCACCTAAGGAAATTCAGAGTCAGTGGTCATCTGTGGGTCCTTATGTGCCTGTTGAACCCCATGCTAGAGCTGCACTTCTGACCACATATTTAGCAGGTATTTCTGGGAGATGGAAGTGGTCCTTGGCCTTGAAGTTACTGGCATTCTTTTCTCCTGTTCCTTTTCCATACTTCCACTTGCCAACAGGTCTTCTCAAAAAATTGTGTCCTTCAGACAGGGGCTTCTTCCAACTCAATTTCTTGTGAACAAGGGTCTCCCATGCATTGACACCTATGTTGCATTTCTTGAGGAAAGCCTTCAGGGAGTCTCTGAAATGTTTCCTTTGATCTCTCAGTTGAGTGCTTTCCTTGAGCTGGGTGAAGAGGATTTGCTTTGGTAGTCAGAACTCAGGCATTGTAAGCAGGTGGCTGGCCCAGCAGAGTTGTTTTGGATGACCATGGCCTTGATGCTGGTGTTATTGGTTCCTTCAAGGACGTCAGTACACCTGTCCTCCCAAGTGATGTGGAGGATCCGTCTTAAGCAGCATTGATGGTACTTCTCAAGGGTCTTGAGGTGACTTTACATGTAGTCGAAGTTTTAGAGCCATATTGAAGAATCAGAACGATTACTGCCTTATACACAAGGATCTTGTGATAACATATAATGAACACTGTTCAAGACCTTCACCATTTTTTTCATTTCAAGTAAACTGAATCTCTAACCTTTTTTATGTGGGCTGGACTGTCCCTTTTGAATGGAGTCGAATGGCATCTTAACTCCATCTGATGGGAACCTGGAGACAAACATACAAACCAGATACAATCAAGGTGCAGCAACACATAGCTCGATATGAAGCCAAACAAGACGCAATCAAGTCTATTTTCCATTAATGCATTTAAAGGGAAGCATGAGAGGGAGAAACACATTAGAAGAATTTGTTCATGGGGTTAGAATGAAGTAGAATATGAGAATGCTCATCTGGGACATAAAAACCACTGGGGATCCAAAACCCTAAAACAGATGCAGGCAAGTTCAAGAACAAAAACAGTTGCTGGAAAAGCTCAATAAGTCTGGCAGCATCTGTGACGAAAAAATTAGAGTTAACGGTTCAGGTCCAGTGACCCTTCCTCAGAAGGCAAGTTCAATTTTGTTTCAGTTTGCTAAAAATTTTAAATTTCATCTGACAGAAATTCACCCATTTTGGGGTTAAAAATAGCCCTATTATTTCTCTAGAGGTGTTGTTGTTTTATATTTCATTTGGAAGGGATTTCATTGCCCTGCTCAGTTGCACAAAATATGATGCTATTCAAACAAAAATGAAGGTGATTTATAGCAGCATCTTGAAAAATTATTATCCCTCAAAACACATCTAATTGCTTTTGAGGCATTGCTGTGCGAAGCTGCTGCATTTGCTTACAAAGCAACACAAGACTGCATTTGTAAAGCAATTAATTAGATGGCAAGCATGTTGGGAAATTCTGAGTTTGTGAAATTTGTTCCTTTGCAACCAAATCCATTTCTTTCCTGAACAGTTATTTATGACTGAACCAGACTGTTTGGAGCCATACATTCTGTTCTAATCATGGAACCTTTCTATTGCAAAGTCTGTTATTTCCATCTCGATAACATTCATACCTCCATCTGCCAAGTACTCAATCTTTTATCCATCACTTTGACACCTCCAGATTTCAGTACTCCAACAACATATTCATTTCATCAACGATATTCATCTGGTCAGTCCAGATGCTGTTAACTTCAGCACATCCAAAACTCTGCGACCACCACTAACTCCCACTTGCCCATCTGTCCTGTTTTGTTGACCAGCAATGGTTCCTACACATCCAATTTAAAATTTTTTAATCTGGAAATCACTTTACTATTACTGGAGAGAGAAGCCAAAGCTTTTCATCTTGCACTCATCAGGACAAATGCAAGAATGTTCAACTTGAAACAATCACAACTTATATTACGGGAGAAAAAGATCTCAATTGGTTGGCAAGTGAACTCTGATTGGCCAAGGCAATGCCATGGGGAAAGAAGAGGGAAACTATAAGTTTCCTAAGCTTGTTTTAAAAGTACACAAGGCCTGAACATTTTTCTTATAATTTGCAGAAGACCGTGCAAATGAATGGCACTTCTGTCAACTGTAAATCAGCTATGTTACAAGTTTGACTTATTTTTTAAATTGGTTGCTACTGCTGTTACTAGTGCACTTAAAATTGATCAACATGTCATGCCCAATCATAAATTACATTCAACAATAGACACTGAACTAAGGAAAATGGTTATTCTACTCAGGTCATTGTTTGGTGTGTGTCGTGCAAACTCACAAATGGGTCAAATATTACCACCTTTGGACCTGAAAAATGCCTCATCTCTTTCAAAGTACTCTGAAAACTGTTTCATATCATACCACTGCTGGGAAATGTTCACTAACAGAATGCTGTCATAACTCCGAAAACACATTGTTAGGCAATTTTGTGGTAGACACAGTGTATGAATTTTAATGCCAGTGTAATGTCAAATAATATAGTCTCTATATAACAACGTTTGGTTAACCAAACCAAATAATATGATGCTTCAATTGTTCATAAGCAGCACAGCAGACTGTACACAACAAGCTTGTGCATTCAAAATCCAAAATTAAACATCCACTAATAGATATTATTTTTTGTGAAGCAATTGCTAAACAATCCAGAGTCTGTCAATTGTTACACTGTGGATCAATTTAAGATGATCAGTTGAGCCCATTTATTCTTGTTAGAAGTGACATACACATGCAAATACCCATTTAATGTTAATAAAAGGAATATGTTCAAGCTATGCATCTTTTTTGAATTATCCAGGAGCTTGGGTTGCTCTAGTGCCCTATTGCCAACTCCATGGCAATACTTCAGCCAGCTTTTCAAACGATCAGCATGCTTTGCTTGTCATACATATTGTGTAGATTGCTTGAAATTTTGCACTCTTGCATTTGTCCTGATGATTGCAAAACAAAAAGCTTTAGCAACATGCATTTTCAACAATATTCAAGTTTTATATTCCGAGGTAACTGTCTGAAATCACTTCCTTAGTGTTTTCCTATTCTATATCTCTAAGTTCCTCAGTCCTGTAAACCCTACATGATTCTTTCTCTTTGACTCTTGCTTCATACTAGCCACCATCACCTTGTGCACCATAGGTGGCTATACTTTTAGCCATCAAGGCTCCAAGCTCAAATTCCCTTCATAACTTCCTCTCCATGTGTAAATCACTTCTTTGATCAAGCTTGCGGTCACCCTTCACAATGACTCCCCCTTTATCTCAGGATCCATTTTTTGTCTCACAGAGTATGTGGACCATTTTTCCACACAAAAGGAGAGCTGGTCTTTACACGATGGGGATACAATCCAAGAGTGTGGAATTTCAGGACCACATCCATAGACACCAAAGACTCTGTCTTTTGCAGGAAGATTAAACTATTCACCAATAAACTCCCCCATTCTTCGTCTCCAAAGATAGCCGTAAAAGATGGCCTGGCACTATCCAAATAAGTGCTACAAGGGCAGGGCCAATCTAGCATTTTTACCAATAGTATTCCTCAACAAAGTAGTGCCTGGTCATTCACCAACTGGAACTGGCTGAAAAGAAAATTGGTAATGTGTCTGCCTATGTACGAGTGACTGTATTTCAGAGATACTCAACCACACATCAAAGCATTTTAGGCCCTCCCAAAGATCTTAATATGTGCTAAGCTAATTTAAATTTCTTTTAAATATGACATCATCATTATTCTCTCTTAAAGCACAATGAAGCTAACCTGATATAATCATAAATATCATGCCAAGTTTCTCCTTTGGGCACCAGGAAAGCCATTTCTCGAGGCACTGGGGAGACGTCATGCAGCACCAATCCTGCCCGTTTGGCCTTAAAGGCAGTCACACCTAAAAGTAGAAGGTGAGGAATAATTCATTGCGATAGCACACTGACATGATTCAGGTTTACTTTAGCGGTCAGAAATTGTAAAATGAAGAGCTAAATCTATTGATTTCACCACAATGTCCTGGTCAATTTTCCTCCATTATAAAGTCAGAATTGGGGATGTGCAATGATGATTCAACAATGTTTAGTACCATTTGCAACTCTTCAGTGTTATATATCCAGCTCATTATTGGATAAGTCAGGCCCCAGAGTGGGACTTGGCTTGATAGGCCATAAATTTTATTTCTGCTATTGGTTAACCATGGTCATCTGTCATTGAATACATTCAAAAGAGGGACCAATGTAATTTTAACAAAGAACAAAGTTTACCACACAAACTATATTAGACTATACAAGGACAATTTGAAATGAACATGTTATAAATATCAGAAAGGAAGATTCAACACTTTCACTCCCAGCAATAATTTGTAGACACCAAGACATCAGTGAAGAGTCACCCTGTTGCCACGCTTAAGCTCCTTGATCACCTGGCATGCCTGCAGTTGTTTCTAAATAAATTTCGACATTCACTCATTTCTCTTTTATTTAGTTAATGTCTCTTCCTGAGACCCTTAAACAAGCTGCGAGCTCAGCTCACTTACTACATAACATGTGCTTCATAACCTTGTGGGATGTCATCTTCTCCGATACCTCCACAGCCTTCTCTTTCTGGCTTTCTTATAAACAACATAGGATTTTTCACCAGCATAAACTGCTTGGACTGCTAATAACAGAACCTCTGCTGTAGAGGGCCTCTTCTTTCAAAATCAACCAGCTTTTGTTTGAATGAACTTAATCTGGGGCCCTCCCAACTTTTTTTTCTAAAACTCAAGTCAGCAAAGCGCCCAAGTGTTTATCTCCTTAGATGGCTGGCTGTTCATTTAGTTGAAGTCACATGATTGCTTGGAATGGCTCTTTTTATATAGTCACTATTCAAAAATGACTTCCTAATCTTGTTAAAAGATCTTCACAAAACTGAAAACCGAAACCCATTTTTCCTCCACCTTTGAAATCTAGTTCCCAAATAATAATGATATATCATGAACCTTTGTCACATCAGGATGTTCATGCCCATTCACAACGAGGTCTGGACAACTTTCAGGCCTGGGCTGATTAAATGACAAACGTCACATATCACAGAAAATGCTCAGTTCCAACAAAGAGATGGATGAGTTGGATTCAGAAATACAAAATGATAAAATTTGCAAACTAGGAGGGACTATGGAATTGTAGAATTAGGATCAGAGACTACAGAATTAGTTGAACAGATTGAGTGTGAAGAAATATTGGGGACAGAATTTATTTCAAACGAGTGTGAAGTATTCCACGTAAACATACTCCTCGAAAGAGGTCAGTTAGCTCAATTGGCTGGATAGCTAGTTGGGAATGCAGAATGAAGCCAACAGTGTGGGTTCAATTCTCACACCAGCTGAGGCTACCATGAAGGACTCTCCTTCTCAACCTCTCACCTCACCTGAAGGCGTGGCAACCTTCAGGTTAAACCACCACCTCTACTGAGACAGCATCCTTATTGTCCAGTAGGACTGTGGTGATTTTACCTTTACTCCTCGAAAATAGAAAAGCGTGAAGCTGAAAGGGATGATGACCAAAATAAAAATGGGCTGATGTTAATTATCTCACTACAATGTTGAAGAACCGAACCCAAATTGATAATACAGAAAACACGTGAGTGCAACCAAGCTCCACACTGTGCAGGACAGAAAACATCTCAAGTGCCATGTCCAGGTCCAATTGCTAAAGGGCACATGCAAGCAAAGAAAACTTCAAACAAAAGCCATGAGGGCTTTCTCTGAAGCATAGGAAATTTAGGATCATTTTGGATGGCTAAACAGAAATAACGATATTGTATTCTTTGTCAGTATTATGATTTTCTGTTCTTCATTTATCCAAACTTCCAAGCCTGCCCAAACACATATAATTTCGACATGTATATTGTGCAGTTAGGTCTATGTATTCCATGGATGTCTGTTGACACCAAGATTCACATCCACCTCACTGAGCCCGACAAGAATGTTATCACTCACTTGGCTCAAATACTAGGTCACTGGTGAAGATGTTCTTAACAAACATGTTGGAGCAGAGCTTAATGCTTTTTAGATGGCTGTAGTGTCGGTTCAAATAAAATGACAGAAGATACTCAAGGTCCATCATCAGGCATGTCCACTTCACACCAGGAGGTGCAAGGCCGACAAGGTCTGTATAAAGAAGGAAAAGGTTTCATGCACTCTCCGAAGCAATTAGATTCAAATACCTACTTGATAACTTTGGTACCCAATCATAAACAGGAAAATATATCTCTCCTCTAAAAACAAAACTAAATTTACAAGCACCAACACAACAATAAATAAGGGTAAAAAAGATTACAAAAAGAGAGTTGGTAAAAGGGGCATTTACAAAGAATCAACATGAACATTTTATTTCTTAAAGCACAGCATTGCATGTTTAAAGTAGATAAATTTAAACACAGGCCCCATTAAACTAAATTGAGCTTGCCCAAACCAAAAACAACTTTTTAAAATGTTTTCAAGATGTAGACAACACTGGAAAAGCTTTTCTCCATCCCTATGTATCTGAATGCATAAACATCTTCTTAGACAACTGATTGCTCAACTGAGTGAACCTTCAGTTCAGGATGCTTCAGAGAACATTGGTATGTGCAGGAGTAGCAGTACTTTTCTCTGAAAGAGGCTGGTAAAACCAAAACAAAAATAAAGCACTGCAGATGTTGGAAATCAGAGACAAAATTAGAAAGTGCTGGAAAAATTCAGCAGATCTGACATCATCTGTGGAGAGAAAGCAGAGTTAACATTTTGGGTCCAATGACCCTTCTTCAGAACTGATTATAGCTAGGAAAAGGTTGGTATTTAAGCTAGTGGAAGGGTGAGGAAAGGGAGGGAAAAGAGTAAACAATAGGTGGAGATAGGGCCCAGATAGATACAAAAACTGTTAGGCAGACAAAGGAATAGGTGTCCCTTCTGACAAATGCTCTGATGCCATACGTTCTGTACTCTGCAAAGGTCTTAAGTTTTATCCCTCTGCGCCCCTGACCTTAATGACTTTCGGGCATGACATGACGTTGAAGTCTTCTTCCATTGCCTTTGTCTCCATGCCTATTCGTTGGACAAGAGAGCTCTCCCCACTCCACAGATCCCTTCACCTGTCTCCTCCAACATTCTTACTTCCACCTGGATCCCTTCCTCTGGCCATTTAGCTGGACTTGACCTGTTCATCAAGAACTCTCAATGTGACACTGGTCACCTTAATTTCTCTGTTCCCCATTACACATTCAAGCCTATCTCCCTCTGAACTGACTGCACTCCAAGCTCACAGATCCAACCCTGACCTTGCAGTCAAGCCTGCTGACAAGGGTGGTGCTGTTGTTGTCTGGTGTACTGACCTTTACATTTCGGACGCTGAGCGCCAACTCTCAGATACCTCTTCCTATCTCCTCCTGGGCCATGGCCATGATCCCACCATATGTTCACAATGGTCACAAATCTCACTTCATCCAGTGATCTCTCTCCCACTGCCTCCAAGCTCAGTCCCCCAATCCTGCACATTCTTCCCAAAATCCACAAGCAGAACTGTCCAGGTAGACACACTTTTTCTGCCTGCCTCTGCCCCACAGAACTCATCTCATCATACCTCGACTTGATTCTTTCTTCCCTTATCCAGTCCCTTCCCACTCACTGCCGCGATTCTTTTTTTTCATGTCATCAGGGCTTTCCATGTCTTCCTGAAGAAAAGGCCTGAACCATCCCCATCCACCACCACCCTCCTCCTCCACCTGGCAGAGCTTGTCCTCACTTTGATCAACTTCTCCTTTAACTTCTCCTGCTTTTTTCAAGTCAAAGAGATGGCCATGGGTTCCTGCATGGGCCCCAGTTATGCCTGTCTCTTTGTGGAGTACACGGAACATTCCTTGTTCCAGTCCTACTCTGGCCCCCACCCAAAACTCTTTCTCCGGTAAGTCAATGATATCATCAGTGCTGCTTTCTTCTCTCGTCTGGAATTGGAAAAATTTATCAATTTTGTTTCCAATTTCCATCCCAGTCTCACCTTCAATCGGTCCATCTCTGACTCCTCCCTTCCCTTCCTTGATATCTGTTCCCATTTCTGGGGATAGGTGGGCACCAATATCGACCACAAATCCATAGACTCTCATAGTTACCTCAGCTACACATCCTCACACCCTGCTTCCTGTCAAGATTCTACTCCATTCTCCCAGCTCCCCCTTCTCAATTGCATCTGTTCCCCCTGACAATGCCATCTTCGACAAGGGGGCTTTCAAAGTGTCCACTCCCAAGGATTCTCCACCAGAGGTTGACAGGGTCCTCAACTGTATCCGACCCATCTCCCACATCTCAGCCCTGACTCCCTCTCTTCCCTCCCACAACAGCGAAAGGGTCCCCCCTTGACCTCACCTATCACCCCACCAGCATCCACATTCAAAGGACCACAAGCAACCAATTCTGCCTCCTCCGGACGGATGCCACAACTGGACACATATTCCCCTCCCCTCCCCTCCCTTGTCAGCGTTCTGCAGGACTATTCCCTCCAGGCACCCAGGTCCACTCCCCCTCCACAGCACCTTCCCATCCCATTGCAGAAGGTGTAACACCTACTGGTTTACTTCATCCTTCCTAACTACCCAAGGTCCCAAGCACACCTTTCAGGTGACGCAGTGATTTACCTGTACTTCACTCAGTCTAGTCTACTACATTCGCTGCTCACAATGTGGTCCATTGTACATTGGTGACACATAGTGCAGAATAGGCAACCATTGTGCAGAATACTATGTTCTGGCTGCAAAATGACCCCTAGCTTCTGGCTGTCAGACATTTCAACACATGACCGTGTTTGCTGGCCAACATCTGTCTTAGGCTTGCTACATCGAAGCTCAGTGCAAGCTGGAAGAATAACACCTCCATTTTCCACCTGGGGACTCTACAACCTTCTGGACTAAATAATAAATTCAATTTTAGGGCCTGAGCACCTTCTCCCATCTGTTTACCCCAACCCAACACACCAGCCCATGGTCATTCACATGGACTGCTACCACAAACAACCCATTGTCGGCCACAAACAGTCCCCATTAACAGCTATTTATTGCCCCAGACTGACCTTTCCCCAAGTCCCTTGTCTGCTCAACTGTTTTTCTCTCCACCTGGTCTCCATCTCCACCTTTCGTTTACTCCTTCCCCCAGCCCCCACTCCTTCTCTAACACATGTATCAAAACTTTTCCTCATTAAAATCAGTTCTGAAGAAGAGTCACAGGACCCAAAATAGTGACTCTGCTTTCTCTTGACTGATGCTGCCAGACCTGCTGAGTTTTTCCAGCAATTTCTGATTTTGTTTCGGGTAAAACCAATTGGGTTTATATGCAAAAAGTACAGGCATCTTCTCTGATTATTTTCCTGATGCTACCAGGTAAATTACTAGCTTTATTGGATTTCATTGCAAAATTTTCTTGGTCAGCAGTAAACTCTCAATATGTTAAGTTGTTACAAAAACTTATGCACTACAACACTAAGTGTATTAAAAATAATTTGGAAAAATCTAAGCGCATCACTGAGGTCCTACAGATCACTAAGAATAACATGGACTCAACATGAATCTGAATTAACTAACGGTGATAATGGCCTTGTGTTTCTTCAGAGATCTGGGAGCAAAACAATGACCCTCTAAACTTATTGATTCAGGAATATCAAATGTTTACTGTAAAATTAATGAACATTTGATGTTACGACTGGAAAGAAACAAATTAATTTGATTATCATAAAGGATCATTGATTGCTCTGCAATCTGTTCTTTCAGCAGTTTTCCAAAAGGTGCAATTAGAAGGGTCTTTGCAGGAGGCAAATTGAAAAAAAATCAGGACAACACCAGTTAATTTGCCTGTACATTACAAAGTGCAAAAAAAGGAAATAGAACAGATGCAACCAAAAAGAAACATTCAAACCAAATCAATGCAGCCACAAGGCAGCAGTTGACAGTGACATGTTCAACAAGAGTGTGATCAGGCACTAGTTCATTCTACCATTTCACATCTCAAGAGCTTCTGACCTGAACTGCTTCACCAAGAGATGGTGTGCGGGCCAGGTGATTTCCCATAAGGCAACAAAAGGGGACCATACATACAATAGCAATGACCTCAAGCAATTCAACTGACCCCATTACAGATTTGAGAATAAGTTAAAGAGTTTTACATGCAAGATTTAAGAACATGATATTTAGGCATAGGCCTTTTGGCCCTTCAAACTTGGTTCATCATTTGATAAGTTCAAGTTAATCTGAATGTGGTCTCACCTCCACTTGCCTACCAACCTCCCAAAAACGTTTGATGCCTCTTGTATCAAAATCTGTCAAACTCAGCCTTGAATATATTCAATGAACCAACCTCAAATAAATCCAATGACCTTCTGCTTTTCGGGAGAGCAGAACTGCACAGACCTTCAAAGAAAAAATTCTCAAGAAGCCTGAGATGAGAATTTATGTGGGTTGCTTGAAAGAGACCAATATGAAACTGGACTCCAAACTTTATTTGAAAAGTCACACTATAAACACCACTTTTCATTTAACATTCTTTGAATGATTAAATCCATGAAATTTTACAAACTTTAAAATAACCAAAGTGCTATAAAGATTACAAAAAGTAACAAGAAAACATAATTCTACAAAATAAAAATCAGCATAGGTTCTCATAAGCACTTTTTTTAAAAAATTGGATGTATTATTTGCAAACATAGATTTATTCCATACATTTCTCTTTCTTTCTGTTCCACTAGCACTTTTTTTTTCTTGAGAATTATCATTAGATCTCAGACACAACTTTTTTCATACTGTAGCTTAATGCCCAGTTATCACATTAAAATGGGAAAACAATATACAAGTAGTCATACAACGTTTTGACAATTTGTTCAAAGGGAACCACAGAAAAACTAATGCTGATTTTCGCAAAGATGAGCAACTTGTACAAATAAAGAAAGAACAGTAAGTAAAGTGAACACTGCTCCCAAAGTACCTTGTTTTGCAGTCTTTGCGGTGGCATTATATACAGAGCCTTCCACTGCACTACAAACAAAAGGAAACTGGAGCCACGTGGCTGTGGATTTGAACTCTTTGAAGAGGTTGGAGAATGAAATCCGAATAACTTGACTCCCCTGGAGAGAAACAGATTTAACAACTCACAGAAGTACGCAAAGAATGATGTGCCTATCAAAAGATAGCAAATCCAAACAACCCTTTCAAACTTTTAGACAGACACTTCACTTACAATTAGAGATCAAGACTAAAGTTCAAGTTATTGGCTGCACAGTTATGGGATTCACATTATTGCCCAACAGTCCTACATCAGGAACTTCTAAACTGTATTTATGATCACAGAACAAATTCTTCTCTACACTCCCTCACATCTTTGTTTGGGCATCACAGTAGTGCAGTGGCACACAAGGCAAAAAAGACAAGATAAACGAGAAACAGCACAAAATGAATTTTAAAAAATATATCCACATATTTACACGCCAGCTCTTTCCAATACATGAAAATAATTCAAAAGGAAATCTGAGGTTGGTTAATTGCTTAGTACTTTAAAACAAGTACAAGGTTCTTCTTAACAAAAAAAGTGGAAACTTGATTTTTGTTCTATTAACCAAAATATCTACCATATTTCCATCATCCAGCAATTTCACAATCCTTCAAAAATTCCAGCACAAAAGTGATACAGAACACCTTATTTTTCTTAATGCCATGCAAGGACATGCAATAAACTACACTCTTCCCACATCAGGTGTGTCAGATATAGTTTAGAGGGTGGGAATATTTGCAAGTGTTCCTGATCTTAACTATTACTAAGTGATCACTGCCAAGTTGCAAATACAACTGGTTTAGCAGCATTGATCCCCACTAAAATTCTTTATACAGGTTCATAGATGGGGACTACTTCCTGGAACTTTCACCAAGACGTCACCACTACCAGCCATGAAACAGACCAACATCATATGTCAGCACCTTCAGATAATGAAGACTAAGGAGGCAAAGTTGGACATGAACAATGAATTTTGACTAATTCATGGGGGGTATAGTTTTAAACACATTTAAAGCTGACTGATTTGATTGAAGTATCACAGTAGTTAGAAGGATTTGAACGTTTTTGTTAACTGTTTGCAAATCTACAGCAGCTTTGGATTCAATCAACACTGAATATTAAGAAGCAAATAGTTATGCACCAGGTCCAATTGTCCATTTTGCTTCATCATCGCCAGAAACATAACATTTCTGAATTGCAAAGATGCAGTTTAATTGGTTGAATGATATTCCTGAATATTGCAGCTTTAACTCAAATATTAATACATATTTTCAGTAATTGCATTAGATTATTCTAATGTTAAAGAACAGTCATATCAATAAATGGAGAAAATAATCAGCACATACCTCAGTGACTGCATCAAAGTGAACCACAAAATATTTGGACACAATCGGTTTGAAGAGGAGGTAGAGGTAGCGACCAACTAGTCCAAGAGATTGGGTGCTAGTTTTTGGTAACTGAATGTAATTAGCAGGAGGGATGGGACCACGGATACGATATACTGTGCACTTCAGGGTTTTATCCTAGCAAAAGAATCCAGAGTAAGGAGCCATCAATTAACTATGCAATATCAAGATAAACTTCTTAAAAGACCTGTAATTACAATTTCAATAATCTTTTATCTGAGCCAACATTTCCAATGTTCTTTCATTTAACCACATTGTGGTTGAAAATCAACATGTACTATTGTTAGAGGAAAGGAATAGAATCCTTTGTGGAAAAATGACCCCTTTATTGTTTGTTATCCCCACTGACTGAAGTTACAAAGGATATTTCAAAAGCTGTCAAAAATCACAATTGAATGTTAAATGCAAACATTCTTATTTTAGGCTTCCTTAAGGACCAAAAGATTGTTTCAGACCTCATGTGGAAGCTTTGGGCCTCCCCACAACCGACAATCCCAGCTATGCCAGAGGCTTTTCCACAGTCCCCAATTAAGGTCACCTGCAGCAGATATTCCAGTCCTGCCAAGGAGTGCAAGAAGCAACTGAGATGAAGGTTGATGATGAAGACTCCCTGAATGCAACTCCCACTTTGGATTTTCCATTCCCTGTACTCGCTTTCCACTTTTCAAATCAGACAACGACTCACTGTCTCAGTTCATACGTAACATTTAAATGGAAAAATTACCGGACAGCAATCTATGGAAGTGGCAAGGTGTTTCAAATAGAAAAACAAATAGTACCATAACACCTGTGACATCCCCTTCCTTTGTTGATTTTTTCCATTCTTCCAATTTGAAGTGCTTGAAGATATTCACATATGGACGTTGCCACGCAGACTCTGAAACCAATTCAAGATTAAAAACTCAACGAGTTTAGGCACAATGCAACAAATAAAACAAAGATAACTACAGGTATCTTCAGCTATCAATACATTTCACCTTCCACTTTTAGCAAAAAGGGAGGTCACTGTGTTATAACAAAATGTTATACTTTAGCTAGAACGTTCAGTGATTTCACACATATGAAGTTTCACATCATGGGCAAGATAATATGTGAGGTGTCAATCAATCATTTTCCCAAAAGATCAACATGGGGAAAGTATTTCGAAATTTTAAAATCAATTGAATATCTGACAGCATTGTTGAAAAAATGAGAACCATGAATTCAGAATAACCTAAAACTATCTATGGAAATCTGCATCCAAAGAAAAATAAATGGTCAATACACCCCATATGCTTGTGTGTTTGTTCAGCATCATTTGTACATTGGGGAATAGCTCTTCAGTCAATCTAGCAGACTAGGTGCAGTGCTTGGAAGAACTATAGAAGAGGATAAAGAGCTAAAATTACAATAGAATGCACAAAGATAAACAGGCTCCAAAGATGCAGTCTTTGTTTTTCCCCAGATGTAAGTATCATTAACTTATTGCCCATCCCTAATTACCTGGAATAAAGAGCCTATCACTTTGGCAGCACACAACCACATTATCAAGAGCAACCAGTCAGGGGCAATAAATGCTGGGGCAGCCAGCGACTCTCACATCCCATGAGTGAATGACTTAAAAAAAAACTTTTACTGCTGTTCTGGAGTCACATGTAGGCCAGACCAGGTAAGGATGACAGATTTCCTCTCCAAAAGGACATTAGCAAACTAGATGATTTTTTTTAAAACAACAATCCACAGTGGTTACACTGTCACTTTAGGCCATCTCTTTTAATTCCAGATTTTTATTGAATTCAAATTTAACCACCTGCCATGGTGGGGTTTGAATCCATATCCCCACAACATTAACAACAGAAATTGTTGGAAAATCTCACCAGGTCTGGCAGCATTGTGGAAAGAAAGCAGAGTTACCATTTCGAGTCCAGTGACCTTTCTTCAGAACTTCTGAAGGGTCACCAGACTCAAAATGTTAACTCTGCTTTCGCTCCACTGATGTTCCCGGACTTGCTGAGATTTTCCAGCAATTTGTGTTTTTCATTTGATTTCCATCATCCACATTTCTTTAGGTTCCTTTTCCACCAGAACATTAGCCTGGGGTTTGAGATTACTGGTCCAGGAGCATTACTAGTACACCAGAGCCTCCTCAGAACATTACAGATCAATGCCAGGTCTTGCAAAATTAGTTGATCCCAGCTGGGACACGGATAGGTCCTTTGATTATGTCAGGGAGAAAAACAATTCACCAAGGATCCACACTTCAGAGTTTTACAGTGTCACTTGATGAAACTGTGCTACGTAGACATCAGGGAACTACAGAAATAGCCTCAGTTGTAAAGTCCTCTGAAGGCAATTGCCAGTTACTACCAAAACATATGAATTGTGCACCCTTTGTTTGTTTTTAAGGCTATGGGCAACGCCAACAAGTCACATTTATTTTCAATACATGGAGAAATGAGGCGCACTGGTAATGTCACTGGACTAGCCAACCTGAGGCCCAGATTAAGACATTGGGCACAAGTGGTCAAATCTGACCACAACAGTGGTGGAATTTAAATTCAAACAAAATAGGAAATAAGAGTTATTCTCACTGTTAGCGATCATGAAATTACTATCATAAAAGCCCATTCTGGTTCATTAGTATCTTTTAGGGAAGGGGATATGCCATCCTTATATTTTGTTCGGCCTACATATGATGCCAGATACATGTGGATGATTCTTAACGGCCCTTTGAAAGTGCTTGACAAGCAACTTAGTTTAGGGCAGTTAGGGATAGCCAACAAACACTGGCCTTACCAGTGACACCCACATTCCACAAAAGAATGAATGATCTATAAATGCCCTGAGAAGGTAAGTGTGGTGATACACTTGCTAGTTGAAAATTTTGAGTGCCTGTGATGAGTATTCCTACATGAGCAAGATTAGCAAAGTGACCATTCCCTATGGAATGATCATCTTCAAGAGGAATATGGAGAAAAAGTTAAATAAAAAAGGAAAAGGAAATGTGTTGTCTGCATAATAATTGTAACCTTAAAACTTTCAATCCAATACTTTAAGAAATCTAAACAGATCAGTACAATATTATGTTGAGTGCCACATAAAAGTTATCTTAAATTATTGAAAATAGGTGGCTTTCAAAGAACTGATGTTCATTATGATCCCAGCTAATACTAATACCGGGCACGTCATATCCCACAATGAATTTTGGCTTAGAATATCATATGTTTAGTTGTTGCAGTTGGTCACCATGGTGGTTAGTCACTGACACATATTCACAAGGCTACAGATATTCTTTAATAACAGAATAAGTTTATTGCACAAAGAAAAATAACAAAGCTATATAAGTAAAGAGATATATATGACAGTAAGAAATATCTTATATTAACAGCAGAATAAAGTTTCAACCTGTTGCCCAACAGTACCCTTTGATATACACTCAAATCCAGATAGGAGTAAAATTTATCTCAAATCTAAGCTTTTTAGAACTTTACAGACTTCTTTCAGTTTCTTTTCCTTTGGGCTGCAGAGGCAGGAACCTTTCACAATTTTGATGGCCTAGTCTTTCTCAGTTCTAACAACTTCAAGATTTCTATCCAAACTCTCCTGGCTTGGAAGCTCCACAGGCTAGAAAGTACTTCAGAGAGCGTGGCTAGATCCTCTGAACTAAAATCGTGTTTCTCCTTTTAGGAGAAACTGTTCTCCCTTCTGAACTGAACTAAAAAAATCTAATCTAATGGCTTTCTGGTCTGTTTTAACTCAGTAGGATAAACGTTCCATCCATTGATGCTACAGGTGCCACAGTGGTCACACGCTTTCTTGATATTCATGCACTTGGATCACTTCTTCAAATTACTTTCTGACCTGTTTAACAAAGAAAAAGAACTGACCCACATCCATCATTTTCTGAAGAAGGGTCTAGGCCCAAAACGTCAGTCTTCCTGCTCCTCTGATGCTGCTTGGCCTGCTGTGTTCATCCAGCTCTACACCTTGTTATCTCTGACCCACATCCATCTGTCTTCAATTTAAAATCAGAATCCATAACTATATTATGCACCTCTCCTCACATTATTCATGGAATTATTCCCAATAAGGTCTTTTATATCTTTTAAAAGTAAAATGCTGTAGACGCCAAAAATCTGAAATAACAGAAAACGTTGGAGAAACTTCATCTCTCACAGCATCTATGAAGACAGTAAAAAGTGAATGTTTCAAATCCAAAATGACTTCTTTAGAACTGATTGTGGCTGTAAAAGATGAACAAGAACAAGCCAGCTTGGCAAGGAAGTCAACAACCTCACCCACAACCCAAACTACAGACCTTTGCCAAAATTGTAAATGGCAGTTTTTATGCTGTCGACAGGAGGAAGAGTGATTGGAACAGATGCTGAGGGTGCCCAGAGCAAAAGACAAAGGGAATGCTAATGGTGGTAAAGGAACAATTGAGATGTAAAATGGGTGTAAATTATAGGTGTGAAAAGTAGAAAATTGGTCCGTTCCGAGAACAAAGGCAACAAAACAAAGATTTCACAAAGGTTATATTTTAGCATAAGACTAAGATATCTTTAAGATGTTCAAACAATATAGTGCAAATTCATGTATAGCCTGTTACTTACAATTTCAAGTTGAAGAAATATTCCATTGGCTAGCAAAAAAAATCAAATTGAACAGGTCATCAATGAATCTCTACCACAGAGCATATTTATGAAGTTTTTGAACTTCATATTTATGAACTCTGCTGCATGAAAATAAGGAATAAAGTTCCCCGGCTGCATTTCCAAAATAAATGAAACACAGTAAACAGGAAGGGCAAAAATGCTGTTAGTTGTTTACAACATGGATTGTCACAACAAATAATGCAGGAATACCAAGTCAGGAAACGGCACCTTGGAATGGCCTCCAGCTCCTGGAAACCAGAGAAGAAACTGTATACTATCATAAATCCAATCGATACAGATGTATGAAAATGTCATCAACAGAAAAGAAAAACGTGCTGCATACAACATGTTAACAATCAAAACAAAATCCTGAAAAAGTATAGTAATTACGTTTTATAGGTTCAGAAGCATCACATATTAAACATTTCTTTCTCACCTATTTTGGGCTTATCCATGCTGATCAAAGTTTCCCTCAACAAATGATCTTTGTTTCTATACTCCCAGGAGATTAATGTGGACATCAAGCTTCTGAATGCAAGACAACATTTTGCCAATGTAAATTGTCTGAAAGAAAAGTAACTGTTGATAATCTAAAAGCAAACCTATGTGCCATCTCATTGCCCATCCAATACTTGGCCTTCAGCCCCTTTCACTCTGCTAATTGAAGTGGATGTCGAAACAGCAGCCTAAAATCTCAGTGATGAACAGAAAATATTGAAAATACTAAAGTGGCTTGGAAGCATCTATGGAGAATGCAGGCAAATTAACATTTCAGGCAAGGGCTGTTCAAAATATGCTTTTCACTCATCTCTCATTCTTTCTACTGTCCCTTACCAACTTTCACTCTTCTCTCCTCACACTGCACCCCCTCCCCATTTCCCTCAGTCTTCCTCCTCACTACTCCTCCTCCATCTCAAAGACCCTGTCTCACACATCGCATCACAATGACATTCCCTTCCCCTCCCACTGGATCCCCCTCTCACTAACTCTCTCCACTGATCTTCACTTCCACCTTGCAGCTCTTATAGCCCCTCCCTCATACACCTCCCCCCACGCCCGCTGAGCTTACTGAACCCCCTCACTAACAAGATCCCCCTCTGACTGCCCTGCCTCCCCTCACCAACCCCCTTATCTCACCACCACTTCACTGACCCCTCCCCCTCACTGAGACCACCCCCCACACTGACTCCACTCCCCTACCCCTCACTGATATGCTCTCCCTCTTGACTGACCGCCCCATCCCCCTCACTGACCCTCCTCAATGATCCCCACTCCCCCCTCAATGACCCCCAATTATCCCCCTCCCCTCACTGACCCCATCCCATCCCATCCCCTCCCCCTCACTGACAACCCCCTTCCCTCCCCCCCTCTGATCCTATTCCCTCCCCCTCACTGACAACCCCCTTCCCTCCCACTCACTGATATTATCACTTCCTCACTGAACGGTCCCCTCCAAAACAGTCCACTCCCCTCCCCTTCACTGAACACCCCTCACCAAACACCCACTTCAATGACCCCCTCTCCCCTCACCAAACACCCACCTCAATGACCCCCCTTCACCGACCCTCTCCCCCCTTCACTGAACCCCTCCCCCCTTCACTGAACCC